GAAAAATAATAACACCTTTCAAGAAATTTAAAATATAAAGAGCTCTCAACTTTTCTTTTGATAAAAATATTTGGAGTAATTTCAACTCCGCAAGTGATGGTCATAAATATCATATTTATCGTCATTTCTAATCAATTATAAAGGAATTTATTTGGTATTATTGATAAAACTTTGGTAATGATTATAATATATTTTTTATTTTTTGATAAATAATTTATTGTGTAATTTTAGCATATTTACTTTAATATTTATATATATTATTGATTTATTCATACTTTCATATATATGTATATATAGTTATTAACATATTTATTAACATATATTAATGGCCCCACAAATTAAGAATTATAATTTTTTTTTTTTCGATAAACAATTTGCTTATAATTTTATTTTTTCTGTTTCTTATCTATCTATACGTTTGTTTTTTGCACGAAATTTTAGATATATTACTATTATATTGGGATGTAGTATGAATAAAGTAGAAAAAACTCAAATAATGTTATTAGTTTTGTGAGATATAAAAGTAATGACATTTGTGTAATATATTGTAAGTTGTAAGGGTATTTTTAATATTAATAAAAAGTACAATTATTAAAATAAGAAATAAATATTTTGTTATGGAACATACCAATAAAAGAAATTGATAGATTGTTAAGGAACGGAAGGAAGGAAGGAGTAATATATTTACTTTAATATTTATATCTATTATTAATTTCGTATAAAACATATACATACACATGTAAAACAAGTAAACAAGTTCGATATGATTGCAACAAAATCAAAGTAAAACAACCTTAACATTTAACTCAAAATGTGATGCAAATTTTAGGTCACTTACTGTACTTGGAGAGATCAGAAATGCTAGTGGCTGGAAGTGAGATTGAAAGTATAGAAAGCTAAGCCTAAACTATAGACGCCTATTTTCATAAAATGATTTCAGCTTAAGAGGGTAGTTTTTAGCTTATTAACAGCTTTTAGCTGTTTGATCAGTTAAAAAACTAAATTAGTTTTTTGAAAGAGTTTTTTGGATCCAAAAAGCTAATTTTTTGAAAAGCTCATTCACCCAGCGTTTGAAAGAGTTTTTCATTTTAATTTTGGTTATTCCTTATTTACCTTTAAAACTTAATTATTTTTTTTATACATATAAATATATTTTTATAGTTGTATTTATTAATTATTTTTAATATATTTAATATTAAATTATATTTTTATTTTTGTAAATTTAAAATAATTACTATTATTAATTATTACACATAAATTATTTTATTTGTAAAATATATAAATTTTTAAAACTAAATCAAATAAAAAAAATAAAGGTTAATAATTTATTTATATATATTAAAACAATAATTTAACATAATAAAGATATATATACGAATGATTTATTATTTTATATTTTACATAATTTCAATAAAAAATAATAATTTTTTAGTAAAAATAATTTTCTCAAATCTAAATAATAAAAATAAATATTTTATAATATTTTTATAATTTTTAATAATTAATAACAAAAATTCTCATAAATTTCAAAGCAAAATGAACAAAATTAAATATTTTAAAAAATAGCATATCAATGTCCTTAATAATCATTTTATATATAAACAGCTAATGTCAAACAATTATTTTACCAAACACTTTAATACTAACAGCTAATTGAATCAGATAGTCAAACCAACTAATTAAATCAGCTAACAACTAACATCTAATTGAATAAGCTAACAGGTAAAAACTATCTGCTAATTGCCAAACGCACCCTAAGTAAAATAAGAAGACAGACATCTTCTATTCCAAAAAATTTAAAATATGCGGATGACAACGAAAGGATCTTTTTAGTAAATTCCACAAAAAGAAGATATTATATGATTATTACCAATCTTCTTTAAAGTGCGATTGTTTGGGGGATTGGATTTTAAATCCACTGTTCATCCTATTCCCCCCAAAAAATACCAAATTAAACACCTATTTTTTAAATTTTATATTATACTAAAAATCAATTTTATATTTAAAACATCAAATCAACACCTATTTATATCACGTCATACAACTATTAAAATTTAAAATTTTTACTATTCAAATTCCAACTCAAAATTCAAACCCCAAAACAAACACAAATGTAAGTAATGAAACATCTAAGAGCATCAGTAAAGTCATAATATATTCCATGTAAACCAACTACGTGTAATAAAAAAATATTATGGTTTAAATTAATTAGTTACTGACCATGTAAGTAAAAAAAAAGGCAAACATGCATAAGACCAATTTCACCTTAAAAAAAAAAAAAAAAAAAAAAAAGGCAAAAATACATAGACCAATTTCACCTAAGAGTGAAGGGAAGGACAAACATGTAAATAAGAGAAAGGGTAAAATAATAATTTCAAGTGGCAGAAGTACAATTCTTGTATTTATAAGATATAAAATATATATACTAGCATATAAAATTTATGGCCCCCTTACAAACTAGGGTCTTGGCCGTCGCTCGTTGAGCACGTACTAATAGTCGGCTCTGCAAATTTAGGATACATTTCCGCTACGTGAATTATTTTTATATTTTTATTTTATTTAAATATATATATAATAAAATTAAATATATAAAAAATAAAACAAAAATTAAAAGTTATCCACGTGTCTGTTAGATCAGCGCCACGTACTGATATGCAGATAATTTTTAGGTTTACATATTTTTTAAATTTTTAATTTTTTAATTTTTTATTTGATTTATTTGAAATTCTAAATTTTATTAAAAATAACAATTATCTATGTGTCCTCCATGTGGCGCTGACATGGCCAACATGTATCCGCCGGCATGCCACAAAGGCATCGAAAACTAAATATGCGAGAAAATTTTTTACTTACGGGACTATTTTAAAACAGTCTCTAGTTACGGGACTAAAATGATAAAAGTTCAGGTACGGGACTAAAAAAAGTTTACCCTTTAAAAAATATATTGCAATAATAAATATATGCAATATGAATATTATTTTGTAGATAATATAATTTTTTATAATACAAGTAAATAAAAAATATATTTATTTATTTATAATTAATATAAACTAATTTTATAAAAAGTGTGGTGTTTTAAATATAGATAAAAATAATTTTTTATTTTTTTTTGTAAGGATAGATATAAATAAAAACGGTTTTGAATGAGTTGTATGATGTTATATATTATGGAGTTAATTAAATTGATTTATATTTGTTAATTATGGTTTGATTTAGTAAATTTTATTCAAAACAGAAATGTGCAAATGATTAATTAATATAATAATTACTTTGACAGATTAAACAATAGATAAAATTATATTATGTTTACTTTGTTAGATTATATGATATGTAAATACCCTTCATAATTATATTATAAATTATATAATTTGTTTTATATATATTTTTCTAAATATAGCAATATAATATATAATACTTCATTAAAAATTTAATTGTGATATCCATTATGATATGTATATAATTTGATATAATGTTTTTTTTATTATTATAAATTAAATATATTTAATTTTATCTTCAAATTGTCAATTAGGTTTCAGCATTATAATATATCTCATTTTTATTACTTTATATTTTATTGATTAAGATAATATATACTATAATTACTTTTCAAATGAATTCAAAATAAATTTTAAATAAATACAGTATTAAAGAAAAATATTATAATTATATTGATATAAAATAATTTTAATATTTTTTATTATAATATTTATCAAATAAATTATTAAAAACACTTATTTTTCTAATAAAGTTACTTCAACAAACTCTTATTACTAACGTGTAAGTTATTGATATTTTTATACCATATATTCAAATATGTTCGATACTTACATATATACTTAGGGTGTGTTTGTTTGAGGGTTTGGATTTTGAGTTGGGATTTGAATAGTAAAAATTTTGAATTTGAATAGTTGTATGATATGATATAAATAGGTGTTGATGTGATGTTTTGAATGTAAAATTAATTTTTAGTATAATATAAAAAATGAAAAATATGTGTTTGATTTGATATTTTTGGGAGGAAAAAATAGGATGAATAGTGGAAATTCAAACAAATCCCTCAAACAAACACACCCTTAATGAATTACCACAAAAACCTGAAGCTATTGGGTGCTCGAAAAAAAAAAAAAAGAAAGAGCAAACTGGGCGAAGAACTGTATGAAAAGAAAAATTACATGAAAATAAAGAAAGTGAAATGGATAAAGAAAAAAAAAATTAATACTAAGGGTAGTTTAGTAATTTTATTAAATTGTATTAAATAATCCTAAAGTGTTGGATTAGATTAATAATTCTCTAAATGAGTATTAGTATATCTGACGGGTGGTTATCCCGAGTTCGAATACATTCAAGTAAACATGATATTAAATCGGATAAAATAATATTATCTGACCTAATTCTTAACATATATTATAGGATAATCATCCTATATTTATACATATTTCAACATATTTATAATATATTATATATTAATATTATATTATAACTTATTTTATAATACATTTCAAATATTTATAAATATAGGTTGATCATCTATTCAAATAAGCGTCGAACTACTAGCTAGAATCAGCACATAATAGGCAACTATAATATATATATATATATATATATAGAGAGAGAGAGAGAGAGAGGGTTATGTAAGAAATAAGAAATTAATTGTACAAACAAATCTTTCTAAATAATTAATCAATGAAATAGTTATGGATCACTTTCCACATCCCCAATCCCCTATATAAACGTGTCACTTCTCGTCCTTCTGACCACATAATACTTGCTACCATCATCTCAATAAAATTAAAATTATTACCAAATCAGCACCCATGGAGCCTTGTCTGATGCCAATTACTTTCTTCACCATTATCTTCTTCTTCGTCTCAATATTCGCATGGAAAAACCCTAAAATTAAATTATTGCGCCCATTTTCAGGGTTTCCGTCCTGCCGCCGCTGCCTCGTCCACCGCCAGCTGGCAGCGGCAGCACACCGGTCGATTGGCACCGCCCGCCTGATGTGCGTCGCGTTGGGGCGGCGGCGCGGCGGCGCCGCCGCTGTCGTCGTCAGCAGCCGGCCGGAGACCGCCAAGGAAATCCTTCGAGGGTCATCCTTTGCGGACAGGCCGGCAATGGAGACGGCGCGGCTGCTAATGTTCGACCGGGCTATCGGGTTTGCCCCGTCGGGGGAATACTGGCGGCGCCTCCGCCGGATAGCATGGACGCACGTGTTTTCTCCGACGAGAGTGTTGGCGGCGGAGGGACGGCGGGCGGCGGTGGCGGAGGGGATGGCGGCGGCGGTGAGGGAGGGGATGAGAGAGAGAGGGGTTGTGGATGTGAGAGAAGTTGTGGGGAGAGGGGCTTTAGAGAGTGTGGTGGAGAGTGTGTTTGGGAGTTTGGAGAGAGAGAGAGTTGGGGAATTAGGGTTTATGGTTAAGGAAGGGTATGAGGTAATGGGGGTAGGGGTGGGGTGGGGGTGGGGGTGGGGTGAGTATTTGGGGTTAGGTTTTTTGGATATTGGAGGGGTGAGGAGAAGGTGCTGTAAATTGGGGATTAGGGTTAGGGAATTTGTGGGTGAGATAGTGAGAGAGAGGAGGAGATCTAGAGAGAGAGAGATTATGGATAGTTCGATGAGTACGAGGAATGATGATTTCTTGAGTGTGCTGCTGTCACTGCCTAAGGACGATCAGCTCACTGATCCAGACATCGTCGCTGTGCTTTGGGTATATACACATTTTTTTTTTTATTAAAAATATATTTGAAGTAAAATAAATATTAAATGTGACGTTTGAATGAATAGTAATATACTAGAACAAATGAAAAGAGATATTTAAGATATCAATATAACACCAGTGATGACAGTGGGTCCAAGTAGACTCGATTCGAATCCGATCTATTTATTTGAGATTGGATTCAATTATTTTGATATTGAGTTCGGGTCTGGTATTGTATACCCTTATCGGGTCTTGGGTTCAAGGGTGGACCCTATTGGATTAATATTAATTACTAATATAAATTATATTAAAAATATGTTTTTAGTTTCATTTATTTATTTAGTTATTATTTTATTATAATAATTTTGAATAAAATATATAAACTTTAATGCATGTCGGGTCCGAGTCAAGATTTGGTTCAAAGTTAATTTAAATTTTAATAATTAAAAAAAAAATCGGATCTGTCGGGTCCATCGGGTATTGTTCAAGTGAGGTCCGAGTATTGTCGGGTCCGGGTATCATCAGATCCGGTTCGGGTCTCGGGTTCAACCATATGTATTCGGGTCGGGTCCGATTCGCCATCCCTATACAACACCCATTATTTTTCATTAAGAAAAATTGTGAATACAAAACATCAAAACACCAATTATGTGTTTTTTTTTTTTTTTGTACATTATACAATTTTGCTTTAGAATATTTTTAAGATGCGTTTGAATTTTATGTTGTCGGATTCCGATCTTAAAATGATTTATATAAAAATAAGCATTTAAATTTAACATGATATATAACCATTATTAAAATACAATCCAACAAACCCTAAAGGCGTGTTTATATATAATATTAATCGGTTTGGAGTCCAACACATACATATATATATAATGAATTTAAAAAGTATTAATTTTTTTATATGGTAATTTGAATAATATAAATATATTTTAAATAAAAATAATAGGAGTCGTGGATAAGCCTACGTCTAGACACACCCTAAATCTTAATTAATGTTTTAATAATAGATCCGTGGAGATTTTGTCAAAGGATATAATTAAAGTTAATACCCACGATTCGAATTAAAGCCTTTGACTGATCGACAGCAGTCTTAACAAATCTTGTTTGTTTATTTGCTTAGTGTTTTAATTTGAATCAAACAATATACATACATATACTTTTTTTAAAATTTTTTTTATATATATAACATAATATCCATATTTAATATAATATATTTTATTGAAAACTATAAATTTAATTAGTTAGGAAAAATAAAGGTTCAGTGCTGATGCATGCATGTTTCTATTCGTAATTTCGTCCATATTCATAGACCAGAATATAGATATATATATTTCATATCATGTGAGAGAATATAGGCTTTCAAGATTCCCTTTAATTACTGACAAATGACGACCGTACATGATTGTCTGGATAACTAAACTAACCTTATAATAATATAAAATATTTTCAGGAAATGGTATTCAGAGGAATTGACAATATTGCCATTCTCCTCGAATGGACCATGGCGAGAATGGTCCTCCACCGGGACGTCCAGGCGAGGGTACAAAAGGAAATTCATATGAACGTCGCTGCGGGAAAGGAGGTCCAGGACTCCGACGTCCCGAACCTGCCGTACCTCCAGGCCACCGTGAAGGAGATCCTCCGGCTTCACCCTCCCGGGCCTCTCCTCTCCTGGGCTCGCCTCGCCATCCACGACGTACACGTGGACGGCTGTCTGATCCCCGCCGGCACGACGGCGATGGTCAATATGTGGGCCATCGCACACGACCCGTCCATCTGGCCCGACCCGTGGGCATTCAAACCCGACCGCTTCATGGAGCGCGAATTCTCCATCTCCGGCTCTGACCTGCGGCTCGCCCCGTTCGGGTCGGGTCGCCGGGCGTGCCCCGGTCGGGCCCTCGGGTTGGCCGCCGTGCACCTCTGGCTTGCGAGGCTGTTGCAGCGGTTCGAATGGATTCCGGATCCTGCCCACCCGGTCGACCTCGATGAGTGCTTGAAACTGTCTCTGGAAATGAAGACGCCATTGCAGTGCTGTGCAGTTGAAATTTCTGAAAATTGAATGTGCAGAGAATATGGATAGAGAATGGGGGACGACGACGACGACGACGACGATGGCCGTGGAGGTTAGTCAGCTTTTAGTGTAGTACCGCAGGCTTCGATTGGTGTACCTCTGGAATTGAGGGTTGTTAAGCTTTCGAGTGTAGTACCATAGGCTTCGAATGGTGTACATCTAGAATGGAGGTTGGTTTGTAGGGGCTTGGTTATGTAGTACTATAATTAACTGGTTTAAATGATAATAATAATTCATGTACATAGTAGTATTAGATGGGCTTTGGATTTGTTCCATTTTGGGTTTAATTTGAATTTTTTCATTTAAATAATATATTGATATTATATTATATTTTAATATTTTATTTTTATATAATAAAATTAATATAAATTAAATTAAGTTCAAGTATTTTTAATCTTTTATAAAATTTATATTTATTAAAACAAATAGATATATTATACTGGTACTATTAAAAATAATAAAATTACTACATTTCAAGCTCATATAATTACGATTCGACTGTATATAATTATTTTAAAATAATCTTTTTAATCATAAAATTAATAGAATCACTAGATTATACGGATAAAGAAAGATAGAACGTAGAAGAAAATATAACGCATATAATATGAATTAACAACCAATCATGAGAGTAAGTTTCGAACCTAATATAAAAACTAAATGCTAAATCCCGCTACAAATGATTGAAAACTACGAATCATTAGATTCTCTTCAAAGGCCCAATTTGAGTTAGGGCAGAGAATGTTGTTAACTCGGTTGATAATCAACAATGAGAATTTATCTCGTACCTGAAATCAAAATCAAAAGAATAAAAATTATGGATGACAATTTCGGGCTAATTTGGTTTATCTTTTTTGTTTCGGATTGGCCCGACCCGCTTTTATTCCGTGTCGGAACAGGCCTAACCCAAGTTTAAATTTGACCTAGAAGTCTAGACCCGGGCAGGCGGGCACGACTCGATTCAAATCATGCTGGGCCGGGCCGAATTTCAAACATAACTTTTTTTTTATTAAAAATAAATTATACTACCTCCTCTTTATATAAAGTGTTACTTGGATACATAATTTAATAATAGTATAATCGGTAAATAATTAAAAATATATATATTAACAAATTAATTATTTCATAATATAAAGAAATAGATATTAAAATTAAGATATTTAAATAGTTTAATTAAAATTAAGAAAATTATAAATTATAAAATTTAATGTATAATTAAAGTATATAATTATTTTTCAAAAAATACAAAAAAAATATTATGTGACACAAACCAAAATAGAAATATTTAACACTTTATGTGGAATAGAGGAAAAAATTAATTTCACTAAATGCATTTATGATAAAAAAATAAATAAATAAATAATAGCTTTATTGATAATTAAAAAGTTTAACATTAAATATATAATTAATTTTTTATTTAATTATATATTTATAATATATTTAAAAATATTTAAATTAAAAAATTATTTGATAAAACACGGGTTCGGATTTTCAGAGGTGGCAATATCGGGCCAACCCGGTCCGCATTTTCATAGAGGTGACGATATCGGGCCAGCCCGGTCCTATTTATTTTGAGTCGGGACAAGACTGATTCAATTTTATATTGGGCCTGGAAATCCAGGCCCGGGAATGGCCCGAGTCAAAATTGTTCCGGGCCGATCTAGCCCAAATTTAATTTTTTCTTTTTATTTTTCAATTAAAATTTTAAAAAATATAATACAAATTTAATAAAATTTTAAAATGCTAAATATAAGAATTTAATATAACATAATATCTCAACCATTAAACCAGACTCTAGTATTTTGCATATATTTATTTGTTAATATATTTAAAAAATTATTTATTTCAAATATATTTAAATTATAAAACCGGGTTAGGTCGGGCACGGACACGGACCGATCTCTTAGAGCCCGGGCACAGCCCGGTTTATTATCATGTCGGGCCAGGCATGGCCCGATTTGTTTTTGGGTCTATTTTTTAGGCCTAAATACGATTTTTTCGTACCGGATTCGGATCGAATTTTCGGGCCGTACCTATCATTGTTAGTTCTAGATTTTCAACCATGATGGGTAGGCTTGGCCTGAAAATTTTCTGAATCTATTTTCTTAGGTCAAAGTATTTATTTTTCGTATTGTGCTCAGATCTGATTTCCGGACCATGCTTATTTTTTTTGTTATATTAAAAGCATAAATGATAAGCTAAATCATGCCGCAAAAGATTGAAAGCTACGAATCAATATAATCAATCCATAGACCCGATTTGAAATAGTAGAGAAAATGTGAATTAACTCGACTAATAACGACTGTTGTACTTTCACTAATCTAGCAAACAACAAAATCCAATCAATAGCATATGCTCCAAAACTAACATACCTAGGCAGAATACAAAATTTTCGCATTGAATGCACACTAAGGGTGTGTTTGTTTGGGGGTTTGGATTTTGAATTGGAATTTGAATAGTAAAAATTTTGAATTTGAATAGTTGTATGATGTGATATAAATAGGTGATGATGTGATTTTTTGAATGTAAAATTGATTTTTAGTATAATATAAAAAATGAAAAATATGTGTTTGATTTGATGTTTTTGGGGGGAAAAAATTGGATGAATAGTAGAATTTTGTTAGAATTCTACAAACGAACACACCCTAAGAATCAAGGCAAAATAAGTCTTTGGAACAATGGAACTACGTAATTAAGTCTTGAGCAATTTTAATTTTTTTTTTTTAAAAAAAATTCAGCTGTTGCAACGGTCATTAGGATAGTTAACAATATCCTATGGGTAGATGTGGAAATAGGTCAGGTCAAGTCAGACTTTGGCTAAATAGGCCAGACCTATTTTATAAAATTAAAGCCTGAGCCTGGTCTATCGGCCTATTAAAATATATATCTAAAGCCTAGGTCTGACCTATTTTAAAATTTGATTTGGTCTACGAATCTATTTAAAAGCCTATATAATATTTTTTTTTTATTTTTCAAACTTAATATTTGTAGAAAAATATATACAATTATTTATTATATGTAATAAGTCAATTAAAATAAATTAATTTTTAGTTTTTATTGTCACCAAATATAATTTTTTGTAAATTATAAATAATTAAAAACATAATATTTATATATATATTAGATAAAAAATATATATTATATAAATATATAAACATACCGGCCTGATAAGCCAGAAAGGCTTTTCATAAAGCCTAAGCCTATTCTATTTATTTAAAATGGTTTAGAAATATATCTTAATTTAGTCTTGTTAGTAAACAAGCTAGGCCAAACCAGGCCTTATGCGGGCGAAACTGTAGGCCCCTGACAGGCCGCCTGGCCTATTTCCATCCCTATCTATAGGCAACAATTGCATCGAAAAAGAATCAACATATTTCAAAAAGTATATAATATCAAGAGCATCAATTCTTTTTTTTCTTAGGTAAACACTCTTATAGCAATTTTAACTCCACATATAAATCATTTTCGTGAATATCAACATTTTAAAGTGCATTATCCAAATTGGTACAACAAGATTTTAAGTTAATATAATCTAATAAACACAATTTTTCATAAGAAAATAAAAAAACCAAATACATTTTCATATTGTTCAAACCTTCCATCAAGTTAAACAATTGTCTGATAAATGATGCAATTAAATAAAATAATTTTGAAATATTGTTCCGCACTGTAGTGGACTTTCATAATTTAGACTCTCGTCAAACTATTTTTTTGTTTTAATTTGACCCTTTTGAAGAAAAATTGAATCAATATTCATATCAATTGCAATATCTTTGGAAATTTAAATTTAACAACATTTGTGAAACTATTATCATTTTTCAATGGCAACACAAATAAACATGTATTTTTATTGTAATTTTTTACTAACTAAATTAACAATATATAAAAAATCATACCAAATTACAATCAAAACAATAAATTCATAATCTCCTAACTCATTACTAGTTAAAGATTTAGTCTCACTTCTTATTTTAGAATCATAATTTGAAATCGAATTGCTTTTACACGATCAACACGACTTTCCCAACGAGTAGAAGACAATAACTTAGGAGTTAAATCTTTCACATTATTTTTCAAATTTTGCCATATTTTTGTATAATTTGCAAATATAGTATATATGCGTTGGATTATACCAAAAAAATCCCTAACTTTTTTCAAAATTATTGGTCATGTAACACAACATTAAGTTAAGACATGCACACCACATAGACTATAAAAAACTTTAGAATTTAAATCTAAAATCTTTCTTCGCACTCGTTGATTTTTTTCCTTTCATATTCAATCAATTATCATAACTTTGTTCACGCACATCATCTAAATCAATTTAAAAAACACTCGATTCATGCAACAAAACGTCAAAAAGTCCTTGTCTAGTTGTATAATTCACATTTAAAAATTCTAAAAAAAAATTCTTTTATGCAAACACAATTAGAAGAAATATCCATATCTTAAAATCAAAGACATTTGTTTTTGATGGCTAACATCGGGTGTACAATTAAGTATTACGGAAAAATACTTAGCCACTTTTAGTTCTTTAATAATTTCATATTTAATTGCACAAACAAACAAAAGAATCAACTCATTTTGAATGTTGTGACCAAGATAATGAACATGATTCTCATCACTTGTAATATGACGAACATGTTCTTGTATAATAGGATCAAAGTCGGCTACTAATTTAATTAATCCTAAGATATTTTTATTGTTATTTTCATGCAATTTCTCATTAGAACTACGTAATGCAATATTATATTTTTGCAAGAAACTTCACAATTGAAATAATTCTTAATAAAATATTTTTTCTTCTCTTTCTCAATTTCTTTTAGATTTTCCTTATCAATGATTTTGTTCTTTTGAAGTCTTGAACGCAACTCATACAAAGTGACCATATTTTGAACGTGTTCTATACTAGTTTCATATTATTTAATTCTAACACAAAGATGAGCCCAATTACTAAAACCTTCATTTGTCAATAAACTTTTACCACAATCTTTCTTAAACAACTTACAATAAAAACAAAAACTTTATCAAGTCTTTTTTTTAATATACAAGCCAATCTCTATCGAATTTTTCCTTATTTGGCAATACTCTAGTATAGAATGTGGCAGAAAATTGTCTTCCAAAATTTATCTTTAGTGTCTTTTACAATAGATAAATCTCTTTTAAGATCTTTTATTGCTAACGTATTAATCATTTCATAATTTAAAAAATCTCAATTTCTTGGATAAAGAAT